CAATCCCTTCTCCTCCATTCTCCTCTCGGGATCTTGGGTGGGCACGCACGCACATGCGCCAGGCATGAGTTTAAGCCACCAAGTCCAGGACTCGAACTGCAGTCAACTACATGGGAGTCCGGTGACATAGCCATTATGCTAACTGCTGGTCCTGCATAGGAACTTAATTTCACCAAAATTCCTATGTTTTATCTTGAAACCAAACATTTGGGGGCTGGCTCCATGGCTCAGCAATAAGGCACTACTCAAGAGAAGCCAGATTCCACATGGCCACTGCCACTTGAATCTCCAGATCAGCCAGCTGCCTGAAACATGTCAGGCACTCACTATGTCAGGGATCCGACAGGCTGAAGCACTGGAAGAAGGGGATTGTGGTATACCTAGATTCTGTGAAGGGATCTCATTTCTCTGTCCCTTTCTCACATGCACACATGCATTCTATCATGAATGATGAAAAAAATTAAACTACATTTCAAAAATACAAGTTAAACTTTCTGAGTCTTAACCTATGAAATAAGAATCTTTATATCTACCTTCACAGAGTGGATGTGAGAATTCCACTGAGAAAATCACACTGCAACAACTTACCAGCACAATAAAGGCTTGGAGTGAGAGAGTGAATAAATATATCTTATCAATCCTGTTGCTTTAAACCTTTATATATATATATATATATATATAATTTGCTATAGGGTGTGTGAGCACTTGAGAGAGAGAGAGAGAGAGAGAGAGAGAGAGAGAGAGGATGTGAAAAACCACCTCCACTCTAGGAGAAGGTGGCCTTTGTTCATTCTCCTCTCAGGACTTTGGGCACGCATGCTGCTGGGTCTGGGAGTTGAAATGCACAGCTGGCCACGTGGGAGTCAGCTGCCTTAACCTCCATGCCATTGCCTGGCCCAGATATTTTTTTAAATCCATGATAGAGTGTATGTGCGTGTACAAGAGAGAAAGGCACCCTCCACAGGGCTCAGTCATGCCTCCATCCTCTCCCTCCAGTCCTCCAGCCCGCAAGGATCCTGGGCATTATTTACGTGCTCAGTGAGTTTTCAGGCTGACCAGTCCGGGGACTTGACCTGCGTTTAGTATGTGGCTTCCAATCTGCAGTTTGGGATGCCATTACTGCCACACAGAGGCTGGACTGACCCTTTTTCACTGTTATATACATGTATACAGAGAGAGAGAGAGAGAGAGAGAGAGAGAGAGAATATGTATGTGTTTATGTATTTTTTGAGAGGGAGATATTTTGCTGTAGGGCATGTGCACTGTCCAGAGAGACAGAGACAGAGAGACAGAAGTGAGAAATCACTCTGGGGGAATGGTCATGCTATATTCCCTTCTCCTCCTTTCTTTTGAGATTTTGGGCACACACGTACATGTGCTTGGCTTGAGTTTTAAGCCACCGGGTCCAGGACTTGAACTGCAGTCGGGTATGTGGGAGTCAGTGACAGAATCATTAAGCCATCTGCTGGTCCCAAGTGTATAAGTATTTTTTATATTTATACTTATATTTTTTATTTTTTCCATAAGGCACATGTGGCTGCTGGAGAGAGACAGAGAAAAACGGAGAGGGAAAGTGAGAAATCACCACCGCCCTGGGAAGTGGGCGGGGGATGGCCACATTACAATTCCTTCTCCTCCACTCTCCTCCTGACATTTTGGGAATCCATGCACACATGCCTGACATGAATTTTAGGCCACTGAGTCCAAGACTTGAACCCAGAGTGGGTTCCAGCACTCTAACCACCACACCACCTGCTGGTCCACACCTTTACTGCATTATACGCTCTGCCGTCCTCACAGTTTTATATATTTAGGGAAGCTTTTGGTTGCTGGTCACAAAGAAATTAAGTGTATATGTTCTGTGTCATTATTTTATAAAACAGACATGCATAGAACAGATTGTCACACTAAGTCCACAGAGCAGTAATCGGGACAGAGTGCAGCAGACACAAAGCAGATGCTGCTAATCTGATGAAAAAGAAAGTATAAGCTTGGGACCAGCAGTTGGCGTAATGACTATATTGCTGGACTCCTATGTAGTTGACTGCAGTTCGAGTCGCAGACCGGGTGGCTTAAACTCACGCTGAGTGTGTGTGTGTGTGTGCATGCCCAAGATCCAGGGAGGAGAATGGAGAAGGGATTGCAACATGGCCATCCCCCCTGGGGGGTGATTACTCACTTTCTGTCTCTCTCTCTGTCTTTCTGGGAAGTTTCGTGCCCTATAGCAAAAACCTCTCAAAAGAAAAAAAAAAAAAGAAGGTATAAGTTTTGTTTCAAGATTTTATATTTGATGCTGGATTTAAGCCATGTCTAACAGGTGTGTTTCTAAACAGCCTTTTCCTTGTTTAGTTTTCCCCTATCTCAGCATCAAGCTCTGGGTGATTTTACATGTCTTCTGCTAGAGGTGGTTTCTGGAACAATGAATTCATAGTCTATGCATTTGAGTGCATATGCTATTTTAGTTATTATATATATTCAATTTAAACAGCACAGTATCACTTAATGGACATTTACAATAAATTCAATATTTTAATTCTAATGGAGACCAAAGTTTCTTTTCCTTCCTTCCTCCCTTCCTTCCTTCCTTCCTTCCTTCCTCCCTCCCTCCCTCCCTCCCTTTCTTTCTTTCTTTCTTTCTTTCTTTCTTTCTTTCTTTCTTTCTTTCTTTCTTTCTTTCTTTCTTTCTCTTTCTTTTTCTCTCTTTTTAAGATAGGGTCTCACTATTTTAGGATCCTCCTCTTTTAGCCCAGGACTCTTTGTACACAGTGTTAGTCATCAATCCCACCAACTACCCTTGATACAGTTGGATAAATAAATGTTACCAAATTCTCCCAACTAGGGTTAACTATTCTGTAGAACTTTAATTCATTTTCAACCCAAAAGTTCTAGAAACATGTATTTTTAATTTCTTTTTTTTTTCCTGTCCTCTTAAAGTCATTGTGCTCCAGTATGTTTAATACAATTTTAAATTCAGTGTTTCTCAGTCAATGAAAATAACATGACCCTATCCCAGTGAGGGGAGTGGGTGGTAGAGAGTGGGTGTGAGGTGCAAAGGGAAGAAACATCTAACAGACGAAAAAATGTAAAGTTGAAAAATATATATAGTATATGTTGTGATGGGGACTTTATATAAAATGTGAAATTAATGTGGAAATAAAATGATTCCATCCCAACAAATTCTGAGGGACCCTTTGAATGAAAGTGGGTTGCCGAATTGGGAATTGGGCTTTATGTGTAACACGTCCCATTGCAGTATTTATCGTTTTGCATATTCCTAAGGTATTTAAAGCTAATTTAAATCACACGATAAAGTTTATCTTACTTACTTCGACGTCTGAGCCTTAAAATCATAAACAGCTTTTGCAGGCAATTTCTGAAAAAGAGGGTAAAAAAATGAGCACCACGGGAACTTTGGATTTCTTATAAAAGAGCAATGCCACATGCATGAAAGAAAAACGAAACTGCCAGAAATGATTAACGTAGAAAATGTAAACACAATATGTACTTTTCAAATGAAATGAATTAGTTCTGCGGTTAGGAATTTAAGCTAGAACAGACATACCAGGTGGCCTATTCATCATCACATTTCACCTGAGGGACAAGGTACTTTAATGCCACAGTAGGGAGAAAACTCCGGAAGAGGATTGTGGCTCAGGTGTGATTTTAATTGTGACAGAGGCTTTTCCTGAGATAATCGTGGAGAACTAGCTGCTGTATATTCCGTGGGTTTTGACTCTACACCAGCTGAATCATAATCAAAGGACCAGAAGTGTTGAAGGAAGTCACCATTCCTTTTACTAAAGAGTCATTTACATATTGACAAAGAAATATTAGGTCGATTATCACTGGGAGACTAGCCAGTGGACAAAAGTATAGGCACATTCGTCTTGTGTTCTTCAGAGGGCTTGGGGATGCTTTAGCACACTATCAATCAGCTGCTTGAATTTTAGTCATGATGGGATGTGGCCTGTGGCCATCAATCTGGGACGCCCAGAATGTTATAGTTAACTATGCCACTTCTTTCTTTCCCGCCTCCATGAATCCACCTCTCACCCTCTTCTCTTTCC